ATGCGTGCTGAGGTGCAATACCTCTTGGATCATGGACTGGCTACACCTTGTGAGTCCCCCTGGGCCTCACCTTGTATCTTGGTGCCCAAACCCCAAGGTAAGGTGCGGTTGTGCACTGACTATCGTAAACTGAACTCTGTCACTGTCAAGGATGCTTACCCCTTGCCAAGGATAGATGACATCCTTGATGCCATTGGTAGTGCCCAGTACTTGTCCCAAGTGGACTTGCTTAAGGGGTACTATCAAGTGTGTCTAACGGAGCGCGCTAAAGAGATATCTGCCTTCATCACTCCTTTTGGACTTTTCAGATATGAACGCCTTCCTTTCGGACTATGTAATGCCCCGGCCACCTTTCAAAGAGCTGTCAACCGTGTCATCCAGGGCTTGGATAACACATACGCCTACCTGGACGATATCGTCGTAGCCTCCAACTCCTGGAGTGAACATCTGCTCCAGCTGCGACGTCTGTTCTCCAAGCTCCTGACAGCCGGCCTCACCATCAACCTGGGCAAGTCCACTTTCGCGAAAGGTAAAGTGCGTTATCTGGGTCATGTTATTGGGAGTGGCAGCATAGCTCCGTTAGACTCACACACTCAAGCCATCCTACAGTATCCACAGCCTACCACCAGGAAGCAGCTCCTGCGCTTCCTTGGTCTTGCCTCTTACTACCGTAGGTTTGTGAGGAATTTCAGTACAGTCGCCACACCTCTAATTCTATTAACCAGTCCCAAGCAACGGTATAATTGGACCATGCAGCAAACCGTTGCTTTTGAACAACTCAAATTCCTCCTCTGTTCTAACCCCATTCTCGCCTCTCCAGATATCACCAAGCCTTTCGTCCTTCATGTCGACGCCAGTGGTACCGGCGTTGGTGGTGTCCTGATGCAACAACGAGGCGAGGAGGTTCTACCTGTCAGCTACTACAGCTACAAACTGAAACCACACCAGAGGAACTACAGCACTATTGAAAAGGAGCTACTATCCATCGTCCTGAACCTCCAACACTTCGCTCCGTACCTACAAGGCGCCAGGTCTACCACCATCTTCTCAGACCACAACCCTCTCCGCTTCCTACATCAAGCCCAATTCACCAACCAGCGTCTTCTACGATGGGCTCTGTATTTACAAGACTTCAACCTGGAGATCCGCTATATCAAGGGTTCTGACAACACCATAGCCGATGCCCTCTCCAGAGTTTATGAAGTAGAAGCGACTCCATCCATTACTCCACCACATAACGACGTACTTCTTCCAGAACCGCAGGCTTCGGGGGAGAGTTGTGACGATAATCTCCTTCAAGAGATTGAGCCTGCTCTTCCCTCCATAATTACGTCGTTCACAATTATATAAAACGACTATGGAAGAAATGTCCAACAACGACAACAACACCAGCAAGGCTTGCCAGGGTGAGCAAAACGTATGCAGCCAGCCACCTGTTCGAACTCCAACCACCAAACTACCCGTTGATCGCTACGGCTCCGCTGATTGGTCGCCGGTCTGGCTGCACCTGCACTCGCCCCCCCATACTACCTGATGTCTGGGGTCGCCCCAACATCAGTCCTCAGAATGTTCAGTGCTTTCGTAGCCAGCACTCCTCCCAGCTAGACGTTAGCGTGTACTGAGAGAGGTGGTGGCTTTAAGCCAATATTCCAGCACCTCCCACTTACTTTTGTATTGCACTTCTTGTTATTTTGCCTTAACGTAACTTTTCATTGTGTCATTTAAGTATTCTTATTATTTTGATTCATTGATTTTATTATAAGAATTTGTTTGTGCATTATTTTCATGTTTTGATTTATTTAACGTAATTAAAATTTCATTGTTAAAGTTTACTTGTGTTTTGTGTGTCTTCTCCTTACCTTACCACAGACGAAGTTCCAGTTTTTCTATTTTTTTTTATAACTATGTGACGAGGCCATACCCCTAGCCTTAAACAGCCGAACACCAACGCGTTACCGTCACACTCTCGTCAAGATCTTCAGAGAACATCAAGAGTTGTTCAGAGATGATCCCCAAGAGTGTAATGTTACCCAGCACGACATCCAACTGCTCCCCGACACCCGGCCGATTCGTCAACCCTTCTACCGAATCAGCCCGAGCAAGAAGGAAGTCATGCGTGCTGAGGTGCAATACCTCTTGGATCATGGACTGGCTACACCTTGTGAGTCCCCCTGGGCCTCACCCTGTATCTTGGTGCCCAAACCCCAAGGTAAGGTGCGGTTGTGCACCGACTATCGTAAACTGAACTCTGTCACTGTCAAGGATGCTTACCCCTTGCCAAGGATAGATGACATCCTTGATGCCATTGGTAGTGCCCAGTACTTGTCCCAAGTGGACTTGCTTAAGGGGTACTATCAAGTGTGTCTAACGGAGCGCGCTAAAGAGATATCTGCCTTCATCACTCCTTTTGGACTTTTCAGATATGAACGCCTTCCTTTCGGACTATGTAATGCCCCGGCCACCTTTCAAAGAGCTGTCAACCGTGTCATCCAGGGCTTGGATAACACATACGCCTACCTGGACGATATCGTCGTAGCCTCCAACTCCTGGAGTGAACATCTGCTCCAGCTGCGACGTCTGTTCTCCAAGCTCCTGACAGCCGGCCTCACCATCAACCTGGGCAAGTCCACTTTCGCGAAAGGTAAAGTGCGTTATCTGGGTCATGTTATTGGGAGTGGCAGCATAGCTCCGTTAGACTCACACACGCAAGCCATCCTACAGTATCCACAGCCTACCACCAGGAAGCAGCTCCTGCGCTTCCTTGGTCTTGCCTCTTACTACCGTAGGTTTGTGAGGAATTTCAGTACAGTCGCCACACCTCTAATTCTATTAACCAGTCCCAAGCAACGGTATAATTGGACCATGCAGCAAACCGTTGCTTTCGAACAACTCAAATTCCTCCTCTGTTCTAACCCCATTCTCGCCTCTCCAGATATCACCAAGCCTTTCGTCCTTCATGTCGACGCCAGTGGTACCGGCGTTGGTGGTGTCCTGATGCAACTACGAGGCGAGGAGGTTCTACCTGTCAGCTACTACAGCTACAAACTGAAACCACACCAGAGGAACTACAGCACTATTGAAAAGGAGCTACTATCCATCGTCCTGAACCTCCAACACTTCGCTCCGTACCTACAAGGCGCCAGGTCTACCACCATCTTCTCAGACCACAACCCTCTCCGCTTCCTACATCAAGCCCAATTCACCAACCAGCGTCTTCTACGATGGGCTCTGTATTTACAAGACTTCAACCTGGAGATCCGCTATATCAAGGGTTCTGACAACACCATAGCCGATGCCCTCTCCAGAGTTTATGAAGTAGAAGCGACTCCATCCATTACTCCACCACATAACGACGTACTTCTTCCAGAACCGCAGGCTTCGGGGGAGAGTTGTGACGATAATCTCCTTCAAGAGATTGAGCCTGCTCTTCCCTCCAAAATTACGTCTTCACAATTATATAAAAGACTATGGAAGAAATGTCCAACAACGACAACAACACCAGCACCAGCAAGGCTTGCCAGGGTGAGCAGAAACGTATGCAACCAGCCACCTGTTCGAACTCCAACCACCAAACTACCCGTTGATCGCTACGGCTCCGCTGATTGGTCGCCGGTCTGGCTGCACCTGCACTCGCCCCCAATACTACCTGATGTCTGGGGTCGCCCCAACATCAGTCCTCAGAATGTTCCGTGCTTTCGTAGCCAGCACTCCTCCCAGCTAGACGTTAGCGTGTACTGAGAGAGGTGGTGGCTTTAAGCCAATATTCCAGCACCTCCCACTTACTGTTGTATTGCACTTCTTGTTATTTTGCCTTAACGTAACTTTTCATTGTGTCATTTAAGTATTCTTTTTTTTGATTCATTGATTTTATTATACATATTTGTTTGTGCATATTTTTCATGTTTTGATTTATTTAACGTAATTAAAATTTCATTGTTAAAGTTTTACTTGTGTTTTGTGTGTCTTCTCCTTACCTTACCACAGACGAAGTTCCAGTTTTTCTATTTTTTTTTATAACTATGTGACGAGGCCATACCCCTAGCCTTAAACAGCCGAACACCAACGCGTTACCGTCACAATATATATATATATATATATATATATATATGTAGGCTGAAATGTGAGTTCTGGCTACAAGGTACGACATATATATATATATATATATATATATATATATATATATATATATATATATATATAAATTTATATAAATTATATATATATATAAATATATATATATATATATATATATATATATATATATATATATATAACATATATATATATATATATATAAATATATATATCCCTGGGTGGTGGTGTTCTTATGCCTCGGCCCAACACGGTCCTCACACCCTCATAGCCAGATAAAGCATTTTAGTACGACAGTTTCTTGACGTTGAGAACGCTCGCGAGAACGGGCTGCTCTAAAGTCTAGTTCTCGTGTTTATCTTCACCCTATTTATCTTCACCCTTATTAAAGACATTGTTCAACACCCTATTGTTTTATACAAATATCTGCTTTAATTATTCAATGATTTATCTTAAAAATGCGAGGCATAACATATTTGATCATTGTTTTATCACTACGGTTACGTTATCTCCGACTGTACACAACTCTTCATCCTGCCACAGCTAATAGAATGATTAATTCCGGTGAATGCTTCTCTTAAGCACAAACTCAAAATACAAATCGAACATTATCATAACGGATCCAAGTGCAAGAAAATCAGCAGTCTCCCCTTCTGACAGAAAATGGAACTGGAATATTCGCCTACATGTATGCAAGACATAACGGGGCAACAATTTTATCATAGTCCACCATAAAATGTTCACCCCAACACTATTTTCCCGTTTTTCTGTACAACTGTAATTAATAAAAGCCTTTTCTACTAAATTATTATTTTATTGTTTGCATGATGGAGGAAAAAAAACTTCGTGAATAGGTCTATTGTTTCATTTTCGTTTGAATTTCCTTTACGAGGAAAAATTTGCCAGGTTCATTGTAGATAGACCTTTGGAGACCCGACGCACGAGTCTGTTAGACAATGTATACCGCAGGCTGTTGAACATGGTCCTGCTGGAGACCTGCTGCTGGAGACCTGCTGCTGGAGACCACCTGCTGGAGACCTCCTGCTGGAGACCTCCTGCTGGAGACCTGTTGGAGACCTGCTGCTGGAGACCTCCTGCTGGAGACCACCTGCTGGAGACCTCCTGCTGGAGACCTGCTGCTGGAGACCTCCTGCTGGAGACCTCCTGCTGGAGACCTCCTGCTGGAGACCACCTGCTGGAGACCTGCTGCTGGAGACCTCCTGCTGGAGACCACCTGCTGGAGACCTGCTGCTGGAGACCTGCTGCTGGAGACCTGCTGCTGGAGACCTGCTGCTGGAAACCACCTGCTGGAGACCTCCTGCTGGAGACCACCTGCTGGAGACCTCCTGCTGGAGACCTCCTGCTGGAGACCTCCTGCTGGAGACCTCCTGCTGGAGACCACCTGCTGGAGACCTGCTGCTGGAGACCTCCTGCTGGAGACCTCCTGCTGGAGACCTCCTGCTGGAGACCTCCTGCTGGAGACCACCTGCTGGAGACCTGCTGCTGGAGACCTCCTGCTGGAGACCACCTGCTGGAGACCTCCTGCTGGAGACCACCTGCTGGAGACCTGCTGCTGGAGACCTCCTGCTGGAGACCACCTGCTGGAGACCACCTGCTGGAGACCTGCTGCTGGAGACCTCCTGCTGGAGACCTCCTGCTGGAGACCTGCTGCTGGAGACCACCTGCTGGAGACCTCCTGCTGGAGACCACCTGCTGGAGACCTGCTGCTGGAGACCACCTGCTGGAGACCTGCTGCTGGAGACCACCTGCTGGAGACCTCCTGCTGGAGACCTGCTGCTGGAGACGTCCTTCTGGAGACCAGGGTTGTCTGTAATAGGGACAACCGACGCCGCATTTCCACGATGAGAGGGACCGAAGACGTGCTGGGACAGGTGCTTGTGGTACTCCGGTAACCTGACCATCATCTTCACCTGGTGAACTGCGCCTTAAACAGGACCTGAACGCTCCTAGGCATAGGAAGAGTTAATGAACTCTAGCTCTCCCAGGAGCATTCCTAGGCGTAGGAGGGCACTGGAGGGATCGTCGAAAAGACAGAAAGTTCTCGTCTCTCCTTAATGATGAGAATAACAATCAATTCGACCCACTTCTCGTCCTCGTACAAGCACGTGACTCCTTCACCTTCACTACCCTCCCACCAGCATTCACGAAATAGTCACATTAAAATGTTAATAACTCTCCAGTCAACGCTAGTACAACTTCTTAACACCTTCACGAGAAACATCGCCCGGTGAGTGAAACATCGCCCCGGTGAGTGAAACATCACCCGGTGAGTGAAACATCGCCCGGTGAGTGAAACATCACCCGGTGAGTGAAACATCGCCCGGTGAGTGAAACATCGCCCCGGTGAGTGAAACATCGCCCGGTGAGTGAAACATCGCCCCGGTGAGTGAAACATCGCCCGGTGAGTGAAACATCGCCCCGGTGAGTGAAACATCGCCCCGGTGAGTGAAACATCGCCCCGGTGAGTGAAACATCACCCGGTGAGTGAAACATCGCCCGGTGAGTGAAACATCACCCGGTGAGTGAAACATCGCCCGGTGAGTGAAACATCGCCCCGGTGAGTGAAACATCGCCCGGTGAGTGAAACATCGCCCCGGTGAGTGAAACATCGCCCGGTGAGTGAAACATCGCCCCGGTGAGTGAAACATCGCCCCGGTGAGTGAAACATCGCCCCGGTGAGTGAAACATCACCCGGTGAGTGTAACATCGCCCCGGTCAGTGAAACATGACTAGAAAAAATGAATAAGCACATAACAAAAAATACAGATTTGTTGAGAGGGGAAAATAGCGAATATTAATAGTTAACGGGATCCCCGCTACACAACATTGCACAAGCGAAGAGTCTGGCAACATTTCACACTTAATAATAGTTTTTATTTCTGTGAGCGTGTCGTGTCCTCCCCCAGTAGCACAGGGGACAGTGATGCCACGATACTACAATCTCAAGATATATATATATATATATATATATATATATATATATATATATATATATATATATATATATATATATATATATATATATATATATATATATATATATATGCATAAGCAACAGGGCTCCATGAAGGAACATATAATCTCTTCCCACAACCAGACTATCACCAGAGAAGTCTTAACAAAAAACACGAAAATCATCGATAAATACAGCGATAGCAGGCGGCTTGATATCTGCGAGGCACTACACATTAAGAAGTCAACACCAGCAATTAACAGCCAATTAATGCACAACTATATTCTACCCACTTCAAGACTGCACCAATATAGAAGCATCAAGAAATATGGGCCAATAGGCCCTTTGCAGTTACTTCCATTCTTACCTTTAACTTACCCAATATTATACTCGTTGTTTCGTGTTCTGTCTTGTGTTGAAAGTTTGTTTTCACCTCATCCAAAATATATATATATATATATATATATATATATATATATATATATATATATATATATATATATATATATATATATATATATATATATATATATCAAGTAACAAGACTCGCCACCAAGTGACGGAACTCGTCAACATAATAACAGCTGTCACAAAGGCTATCATAACCTCAGTAAACATGATGCTTGACATTTGCATAACACTATCGATCACTACTGGCACCAGGTGTCTATCCGGGGAGCGATAGGCCGGAGAGCTTGCTGGGTAGACTCAGCTGATATATAACGAGGGTTGGATATACAATTATTGATGTAGCTGTGAATAATTGTATGATGATGTATGATGACCAAACCATTCATCAGAAGATGAAGAAACGACAACGTTTCGGTCCGTCCTGGACCATTATCAAGTCGTATATGAGGGAGAAATTTTGTTTTTATTTTTTTTATTAACACATTTAGGTACATCAGCATTTGTACAGCTGCCCTGGACTATATGAAGGGGAGTACAGAGTATGTCAAAAAAAACTAGCTACGTGATGCTAAAAATCTCCTTCACACTGGATGCTTAGTCATACAGGGTCATATGTTCCGTAGCCTGCACTGGCAAATTTTTTATGGATTACGAGGATATCCTCAAAATACGAGGGTTAATAAAGTAATTACAAAGCTCCAGGTACTTCATGCCAACTGGTTTGAATGGTATAATAACTGGGCATTCGGTGATGTAGTGTGGGAGATCATGCCGCAGTTCCTGCTCACAGCGTTTGCACCTGGAGTGCTCAGGATTGGGAGATCCGTCAACTGTAGCCACCTGCCACAGGTAATGGTAACCCAACCTGATCCTGGCAACCACTGTGTCGCACAGTCTGGTGGACGTTTTGTGCTGCCCATAAACACAAGGTTTCAGATCTGAACAAATCATAGCTTTTTATACAGGTGCTTTCAGGTCGTTGGGAGTCAATAATTTCTTTCCTATCACACCTGCGTGTTTAGAACAAAATATTCTTGACAGCAGAGATGGGGATACCTAGATCTAATTGAACTTCATCTTTGTTATGTAACACCCGTGACCCCCCCCCTTAGAGTTCACACCCAGGGAAGCCTTCTCCAAGAGGTTAGCCCAGATGACCTCCGGTTTATCTTGTATATTAAAAAAATTCCTGGGTTAGTCTTAGTCAGCATAGTTTCAAGTATGTAATATTTCATGCAAGGAAATTAGACTCCAGATTCTTATGTGTAAACATCCCTGGATCTCCCCCTTTTGGCCAGGTCAGAGGTCAGTCACACACGTAATTAATAACTCCTCTCTTGAAGAGTGTATGGTGAATGTCAAACAAGCTTTTTGAAATATTTCTTGAGTGTTTGTACACTCTTGGTGGGTAGCAACAGCAGATCTCCCCCTCCCCCCTGTGGGGGTTGTATATAGAGGTCCTTTAGGGACTTAGGGAACTCAGAGTGCGGGACACCGGGATCGAGAGCGGGTCTGTGAAGAACATCTCAGCCCGGGAGAGACAGAGGTCTTAAGGTAATGTGTGTGATCTCTGAGGTTTTGTTCCATGTCCAAATTTCTTAACTTTTTGCCAGTGTTAGAGTAGCATTTATAAGTGGTGATTGACATAATTTTGGTCTCAATAAACTCGTTAAATTTCCCGTCTTTGTCAATTGTTGAATCCTCTTAGCCTTTTGGATATAGTGGCTGACAACCGTTTACATAATTAATGACAGTCATAGAAAGTACTCTCCACGTCAAGCAATGTTTCTTGCCTCGTTGCTTGATATAGTTTCAATGGTCAAAGGCAGATGGTGGCAGCGTATTTAATCCTTGTGTTAGCATTTCCTTATTGGCAGTGTACCTTTGGTTCCGGTGTAACCATCATATGTCAGCTCACATTACCGTGTTTCATAACAGTGTTATCAAGTGCAACCGATGAGGAAGTGTTACTCAGGATAAGTAGTGTTTACATTAGTAACCATTAGTTTAGTGTTCCATTATAGTGGTGTTCCATTATAGTGGTACACAATAGAGCGGTGCACTTTAAGGGCGTTGTTACACTAGAGTGGTGTTACAGTTACACGCTAATTTGGCTGCAATGTCTGTCTCATTATGATGGGTTATATTTATGTGTGAAGGTATCCATTCAAAGAAGATTCGCAACTCTTTACTCTGGGCAGGGATTAGGTCATTTATAATTGGTAGTATGAGTTTCTTGCTGTCGATCTTCCAGAAGTTTTCGATTGCTTGAAGAGCAGACTTTGAATCACAAAATATTATTCCTCCTCCAATGTTTTTTAATGTCCTGGTAGCTAGTTGTATTGCCGCTAGTTCTGTTTGTATGGAGGTCAGCCAGTTGTTTAACCTGACATTGATAGTTTGTGTGCAAATATTATTTATATAAAACCTACATTCTGCTACAGTCCGTCCTGTAGACGATTGGAATGAGCCGTCGGTGTAGACACAGTGCTCGTGAGATCTTAAATTTTCGATCTAGGAAGCAATTGTTTCAAGTGTGACAGATTTGAGAAGAGCAAGATTCTCATTAACCTTTCTTAGTGATAGGTGTGTATGATACTTGAATGGTGGGGTACAGATAAAGAGGAATATCAGAGACAGGTAGATTGCACTTAAAAGGAATGTTCAGTTTGATGAGATTGTAGGCATTTTTTCTCTGCCATTTATCATAAAAGGAGTGAGTTGGTATGTCGGCACCAGTCAATAGGGTGTAAACAGCGCTGAATAATTTGTCTCTGAGCAATGCAGGAGATGTAGGGTCTCTCATGATTTTCAGCCAAAAGGTGGTGTTGACTTGCATGATTCTCTCTAGTATGGTTGGAAGCTTCAGTTCTTCCCTCATGTTGATGATTCTTGTGCATCTTGGGGCACCAAGAATTATCCTCATGGTTTCATTCTAAACTACTTCATATTTGTCCAACACAGAGTCAGAGAAGTTAATTAGGTGCAAGGCATGATAATCAACTAGAGATTTAACTAACATCATATAGAATAGTCTAGCATATTTAATATTGATACCAATATTCTTACCAGTAAGTGTTTTCAGTGGTCTAAGTCTTTTCATTTAACCAACGGTGTAGATCGTTTACAATGTCACTGTTAATACCAACTCCAAGGTATTTGTGCTGCCTACACGTTTCAATGTTCCGGTTGTTGACCTTGAAAGTTATAGGGACATGAGTTTTCTCTTGGGGATGGAGAGCTATGGATTAAGTTATAGAGATAACAAGACCACATTCAATGCTTTTAGCAGCGAGTGAATCAAGTAGAGCTTGCAGTCTAGTTTGGGAATTTGCAACAATGCATATGTCATCGGCATAATAAATGACGGCTTCGTCAGGTAGTGTGGGAATATCAATTGTTAATTTGTGCATCAGAACATTGAACAGTGTGGGACTTAGCACTCCACCCTGGGGTGTACCCAACTCAAAGGGTGCACAAAGTTTACTTTTGACCCCCTTGAAAAGGACTGAGGCGGTTCTGTTACTCAGGTAACCCCTG